AAGAAAAGAAAAAAAAATTTTTTTTAATTAAATAAATAATTTAAAAAAAAAACGCATGATTTTCTTTGTCCTCAGGTGTCGGCCTCAGGCACCCACTCACCGGTCCTGCCACCCTGTTTCCCTAGTATCCAGGACCCCACGCATGCACTGTCTGCGCTCTGGTCTGGATGGCTGGGGCTGGGTGTTCAGCAGTCCTGGGCTCCTTCTCCCTCCCTGCTGACTCCTCTCCACCTGCTGGGAGCTGGGGGTAGGGGCGCTCCGGTCCTGCCGGGCTGGGGCTTGTATCTTACCCCCTTTGCGAGGTGCTGGGTTCTCGCAGGTGTGAATGTGGTCTGGATGTTGTCCTGTGTCCTGTGGTCTCTATTTTAGGAAGAGTTGTCTTTGTTATATTTTTATAGATAAATGTGGTTTTGGGAGGAGATTTCTGCTGCTCTACTCACGCTGCCATCTTGGCTCCGCCCTCTTGTTTTCCTTTTTTTGCTCCTAGGATAATCAGAGGTTTTGCTTTTGTACATTTTACCAGGTTAAATTGGCTTTTTTCTACATCTTTGTTGTAGAAAATAGATGCTCACCAAAAGGAAAAGCCTTCTGAAACAACACACCTGCTTCTGGTTAAGAATGTGGCACTGGAGCTAGACAGCAGGGGTTTAAATCTTTGCTCTGTGACTTAACAATTTGTATGACCTTGAGCTAGTCACAGCTTCTGTGCCTATTTCCTCCTCTCTGAAGTTGAAAATAATTCCTGCTTCACTGGGTTGTTCTTAAGATTAAATGATGCAAAACCCTTGAAGTAATCAAGAGATGTTTAATAATCTGGTTTTCTTCTCTGAACCTGTGTATACATGTGTAAATGTAGATGCTAATATGCATATAACAATAAAATGGTTATTTTTAAACCAGCTAGTTTTCACCTAATAATATATTAAATATTCAAAATTGCCTTCTCTGTTACTTGACAGCTGCCTGGAAACTCATGATGTTATGGTGTGAGTAGAAATGAATCCAGTGAGCACGCAGATTTCCAGTTTTGCACAAACATATGCATTTTTAAACAAATGTAAGTGGATGTTGTGCCACTGATAGTGTCTCTCTCGGTGAGAGGAGCTCCGTACTCTTTTCAGTACATATGTAATCCCCCCTGTCCTGGTGTGAATGAGCACCTGGGCATGCTCTGCTCCCTTTGGGAATTCAGCACCTCCCTCATTCTGAGTGGGGCAGCACTGTGAACTTCCACAGGCCAGCAGGGAACTCAGCCACTGCCTCCTACCTGTACTCTTCCCTCCTAAATCTAGAAAAACCATGTTTCATTGGTTAGTGTCTCTGGTGTGAATTGTTTCTTGGGTTCCAAGAAATCACAAATCAGGAATTCCTCTTTTTCCATTTTTTGCTGTGTCTGAGGTACTAAAGGATGCTCTGTCCTTCTTCAAAGGGCTTGGAGGGGAAAACCTAAGTCTCCTGGCTTCCCAAAGGTGGAACCCCTAAACTCTGTTATTCATGGTGGAGAGCTGCAGTCACTTCTTTACTATTCTGGGCATAATACCCTATTCAGTTTTGTGAGTTTCTGGTGACACACGTATTTGATTCCTTTACTGATGTAAAATTCTTGCTGATCTTTGATTGGCAGAAACCATCAATTAGGTCTCCCTTAAGTTCCCCCGACCCCTCTGCTGCTTTTATCCACTAGCAAACCAATAGGTCACATGTTTGAAACCCTGCTCTTATTTCCCTACCCTCTGTCTCTGGGTGTATTATATATGCAGATCAAAGTGTATACTTTGTGTATAGAGTCTGAGCTCCAGAAGGCAAGAGAGTGATAGGTAAAAGTGATTCAGGGTCAACAGTCTCTTGTGGGATAGACCTTAAAAGGTTTATGGCTTTAATGGGATTTTCTCCTACTGCCTAATTGTGTTTGACCCTTGGCATCTTAAACAGTATGCATTTTAAGGAACTCTGGCATTCCAGGACACTCTTGACTGACCAACTTCAGACACAGCCATTTTCCTATGACACTTAAGGAACAGGCTTGATTTTTCACTGTAGTCTAGGTAGTTTATCATCATCTCTAGGAAAGGGTATAATATACAATTTAGGGCAATGAGCCTGCCAGGATTATGGTGGTGCCACTATGTCTTTGAGGTGTGCTGGAACAGTATCACGACTTAAAAAGAGGAGTAATGTGTATTCCACATTAAAAAGAGAAATAATGTGTATTCTACATTTGTAAAACTCAAGAGTATTGATTCTTCTCCACAGCATTTTCCAAAGTGCTTTTTAATGTTTCTTTCTGATGCCCTCGCTGTGCAAAGGTTAAGTAGCATTGTCATCCTTGCATTGATGAGGAAAGTGGAAAGAGGGGAGGTTAACCGACTTGCCTGGGGCTCCAGAGCAAGGCTAGCTCAGTGGGAATGGTTGCTGCACGTAAAGCCTGCTTTTCACTGAAGAGTCTGCAGACCCAGGACTGCCTGGGGGAGTCTCCTTAATGGAGGCAAGAAAAGCTCCCGGCCAAGGATGGAGCATTCTTGCAAGTTCTGTTTGGGGGCTGCTAAGGCAGAGAGCTGGACCCTCCAAAGTCTTAGTCCAAGTTCCTTAACCTATAAACTGAGTTGCTCCCTTGAGAATTATTTTTGGCTCAAATGCACAATCTTGACAGAGGGCCTTAAAATGTAAAATGTAAACCTGACATCTACAAAAATTTTTGAAATCGGATGTAAATTTTCTCCCCACAATTCCCATTTTGGTTCGTTTGGTAGAGGGGTTACCAGACAGGCCAGGGGGATGTTCCTATTAAGGGTTCTCTACAATTAAAGTACATAAGGCAAACTGATGTAATAAGGCTACAGAGATGACTTCTAATGTAGATGGTTCCTGCATCGCTTCCATCCCCAGCAGACCCACTAAAGCTTGAGTATCTTTGGCTCACTGCTCACAGGAAGCAGCAGATCTCACCACAAAGCCAGGTTGGTGTTGCTGTTGGTGACATGGTCTTAGATAAGAAGTTTGTATACTCATGCTTGTTATTCTTGTGTCTTGAATATAATTTCCCTCTGGCTCCTTAGATGCCCACCCATAGTTAGCAGAAATCCTCACAAGATTATTGTAGGCTTGAAGAGGGCAAGCTCTCTCACTCCAGCTTTATTTAGATAGAATTGACAAATAAAAATTACATGTATTTAGAGGAGGGCAAGCTTTAATTAAGAGTAAGGGACACATGGACTTTGAGGCAGCACATGTGTATATGCTAATGTGCATATACTAACAAATAAACTAATGAAAAAGTGGGATTGGTTTAGTCCCACTTTACTACTTACAAGCCTAGCAGGGTCTTCTTTTTTGAGCTTCAAGTGTTTTCAGCCGTAAAATGGGAATACCACTGTTACCCCACTGTTAAAGCTATAAAGCCATGTTGGCAGAATAATCCACTTCATAGAGTAGAGCAAATTTTAGTTCAGAAAGAGTCGGCATGTGGCCTCAAACTGAGTTGCCACACTGCCGTCCAAAGCAGCTTCTGTTGCACTTTGGTTTTACTTATCTTAAAATGTGGAGTAGAGCAGAGATTTGCCATCTGGGGCTTTGAACTCTATACATTCTATCCGACTATGCCACTGATTTTTCAGGGAAATTAAAGCCAGACATAGTGAGGGGATGAGACCAGACTGACATGACCTTTATCTGTGTTTTGACTGGAGCAGGTAACCCTGCACCTCCCTTGTCGTGTTCTTTCAGATGGAAAAAGAAGATACACAGGGTGTATGTGAGGCCCAGGACTCAGAAGACAAAGGGATGGGCTCTGATTTTGAGAATTCTGAAGACAGGGAAGGGGACCTGGAAGAAAGAGGAATGGGCTCTAATCCACAGGACACAGACAAAAGAGGTCAGCCGGAGCAGGAGATGGGCCCCGACACACAGGATGAAGCTCTAAGAGGGGACTCAGAGGAGAGGGAACTGGTGTCTGACATCTGTGCAGGTGAGAAGCAAGCTGGAATTTCCATGGCAGTTGCCCCACTCACGTTTATTTTCAGCTCCTCTATAGCCATAACCAGGGGCAGCCTTCTTTGCAAAAGAAGTCTTTAAGGGAGACCATTAAGCAGATTCTGTACCATCTGAAGACTGAGGAGCAGTCTTTTCTTCAGTCCAGTCTGGGGTGGGCTGTGCTGGGAAACATGGATGAAGGGGGTAATTCACTGGCAGAGCACTTTATAGTACAAAGAATATTGCTGTAAATTAACACTTGTAACAACACAAGAGGGAACACAGGTAACGTAAGAACCTACCTCACTGAGTGTTGGGAGAGTTAGATGACTTGCCACATATAAAGACTTAGCACAGTACTGAGTAAACGAAGTATCAAAATGTTTAGTTACACCCATCATTTCAATTTGCAGATAAGCAATGTGGTGGTGAGTGATCTGTCCAAGTTCTTGTGCCTAACACCCAAAGTGCTAGGTCTCTGCTAACTCCCTTGCTATTTTTGACCTGGAAAGAGTAAATGCTGGACCTTCATCTATCCCTTGTCTCCGCCTTTGGGCATTCATTGCTTCATTGCTGTGTGTGCCTTGGAGACAGAAATGGTCTGAAATACTTCATGGCCAAGACTGTGATACTATATCCCTTCAGTGACACCTTCCAGCCTCCCTGCTGCCCTCCTCTGAAGTGAACACTCAACACACAGTCTTTCATATTTCAATAACTTTCTGGAGTGCCCTTTTTGGGGTAAGCGGCCAGAGACAGACAGTTGTATGTACTGCATCACATTCTATGCTGGGCATACCAGCTCTGGGCCCTGGGCTCACTTCTCCTTTTCCCCCTTGCCCCGCCCCTTCACTCCCCTCACCTTGAAAAGCCCTTAAATTGGATTGTGTTTGGTTCGGTATTCCATTTGAGCTGTTGTAGACTGATCAAATGTTTAAACTCAGTCTGTGGTCTGGTTAAGCAGGTGGTTTTTCTTGTGGTTGACTGGAATGCTCTTGTCTTTTGAGGCCAGGGCCTTGAAGGGCATTGGTAGCTCTTAGAGTGAGCGAATCTCTCCTGAATTGCGGAGCCCTATCTGGTCCAGGCATAACCATCTCAAAGGCTGTCAGGCCTTTAGCTCATTCTGCTGAGTACAGTGGTTGGGACCTGGGCCAGAGACAGCTACCTGGGGGCCTGGCAGGCCTAGGCTCCAGGTGAGTTCTCCACAGGTTTGAAGCATGCTGGCCTTTAGGCCTTCCCCAGGAGCACCAGGTGGGAAGAAGGCTGGAGTCCCAGGGACCTTGGAGAGCAAAGTTTGGCCTGGCTCACTCTGAGGCCCACACTCTTACTGAGACTGGTTTCCTCTGGGTTTACCTTCTAAGCGCCACGTATAGTCACCCACTGCAACCTTTTCTGTTGCAGAGGGGCTGCTGAGTGAGGAAGAAGGGGCTGCTTTCCGTGAGGAAGAAGATTACCAATCTGGTGTCGCCGAGATGGCGATGTTCCCAGGACTGTCTGAGTCCGACAGCATTTCCCGGAGCCCCCGCGAAGAGGAGGAGGTGGAGAGCGCTGGGGAGAACCGGCTGGAGGAGGAAGAGGGTCAGCCGCCCCATCCCGCGCTTCCCTGGCGGCGGCGCCTCTCCCTGGGGGGTCGGCACAGGGCCGACCAGCCTGCCCACCGCCGCTTCCCCCAGCTCCACCACCCCGTGGCCATGGACCTCGGGGAGCTCGACAGCCTGGTGGCCAGCATCATGGACGCACCCACCATCTGCCCCGACTGCGGGGAGAGCTTCAGCCCGGGTGCCGCCTTCCTGCAGCACCAGCGCATGCACCGCCTGGCGGAGGTGGCCGCCGCGGCAGGCCTGGAGCCCTTCGGCCTGGCGGGCGAGTGTGGCGCGATGGTGGGGCTGATGGGTGTGGGCGGGGCGGGGGGCTTTGGGGCGGCGCCCGCACTGGCCCGACCCCCGCGCGAGAAGCCGTTCCGCTGTGGGGAGTGTGGCAAGGGCTTCAGTCGCAACACCTACCTGACCAACCACCTGCGCCTGCACACCGGCGAGCGGCCGAACCTGTGTGCCGACTGCGGCAAGAGCTTCAGCTGGCGCGCCGACCTGCTCAAGCACCGGCGCCTGCACACCGGGGAGAAGCCCTACCCATGCCCAGAGTGCGGCGAGGCCTTCAGCCTCAGCTCGCATCTGTTGAGCCACCGGCGCGCGCACGCGGCAGCCAGCGGCGCGGGGGTGGCGGCGCTGCGGCCCTTCGCCTGTGGGGAGTGCGGCAAGGGCTTCGTGAAATTCACTGGCAGAGCACTTTATAGTACAAAGAATATTGCTGTAAATTAACACTTGTAACAACACAAGAGGGAACACAGGTAACGTAAGAACCTACCTCACTGAGTGTTGGGAGAGTTAGATGACTTGCCACATATAAAGACTTAGCACAGTACTGAGTAAACGAAGTATCAAAATGTTAGTTTCATTTCAATCAAAATTGAAATGAAAAATCATTTCAATTTGCAGATAAGCAATGTGGTGGTGAGTGATCTGTCCAAGTTCTTGTGCCTAACACCCAAAGTGCTAGGTCTCTGCTAACTCCCTTGCTATTTTTGACCTGGAAAGAGTAAATGCTGGACCTTCATCTATCCCTTGTCTCCGCCTTTGGGCATTCATTGCTTCATTGCTGTGTGTGCCTTGGAGACAGAAATGGTCTGAAATACTTCATGGCCAAGACTGTGATACTATATCCCTTCAGTGACACCTTCCAGCCTCCCTGCTGCCCTCCTCTGAAGTGAACACTCAACACACAGTCTTTCATATTTCAATAACTTTCTGGAGTGCCCTTTTTGGGGTAAGCGGCCAGAGACAGACAGTTGTATGTACTGCATCACATTCTATGCTGGGCATACCAGCTCTGGGCCCTGGGCTCACTTCTCCTTTTCCCCCTTGCCCCGCCCCTTCACTCCCCTCACCTTGAAAAGCCCTTAAATTGGATTGTGTTTGGTTCGGTATTCCATTTGAGCTGTTGTAGACTGATCAAATGTTTAAACTCAGTCTGTGGTCTGGTTAAGCAGGTGGTTTTTCTTGTGGTTGACTGGAATGCTCTTGTCTTTTGAGGCCAGGGCCTTGAAGGGCATTGGTAGCTCTTAGAGTGAGCGAATCTCTCCTGAATTGCGGAGCCCTATCTGGTCCAGGCATAACCATCTCAAAGGCTGTCAGGCCTTTAGCTCATTCTGCTGAGTACAGTGGTTGGGACCTGGGCCAGAGACAGCTACCTGGGGGCCTGGCAGGCCTAGGCTCCAGGTGAGTTCTCCACAGGTTTGAAGCATGCTGGCCTTTAGGCCTTCCCCAGGAGCACCAGGTGGGAAGAAGGCTGGAGTCCCAGGGACCTTGGAGAGCAAAGTTTGGCCTGGCTCACTCTGAGGCCCACACTCTTACTGAGACTGGTTTCCTCTGGGTTTACCTTCTAAGCGCCACGTATAGTCACCCACTGCAACCTTTTCTGTTGCAGAGGGGCTGCTGAGTGAGGAAGAAGGGGCTGCTTTCCGTGAGGAAGAAGATTACCAATCTGGTGTCGCCGAGATGGCGATGTTCCCAGGACTGTCTGAGTCCGACAGCATTTCCCGGAGCCCCCGCGAAGAGGAGGAGGTGGAGAGCGCTGGGGAGAACCGGCTGGAGGAGGAAGAGGGTCAGCCGCCCCATCCCGCGCTTCCCTGGCGGCGGCGCCTCTCCCTGGGGGGTCGGCACAGGGCCGACCAGCCTGCCCACCGCCGCTTCCCCCAGCTCCACCACCCCGTGGCCATGGACCTCGGGGAGCTCGACAGCCTGGTGGCCAGCATCATGGACGCACCCACCATCTGCCCCGACTGCGGGGAGAGCTTCAGCCCGGGTGCCGCCTTCCTGCAGCACCAGCGCATGCACCGCCTGGCGGAGGTGGCCGCCGCGGCAGGCCTGGAGCCCTTCGGCCTGGCGGGCGAGTGTGGCGCGATGGTGGGGCTGATGGGTGTGGGCGGGGCGGGGGGCTTTGGGGCGGCGCCCGCACTGGCCCGACCCCCGCGCGAGAAGCCGTTCCGCTGTGGGGAGTGTGGCAAGGGCTTCAGTCGCAACACCTACCTGACCAACCACCTGCGCCTGCACACCGGCGAGCGGCCGAACCTGTGTGCCGACTGCGGCAAGAGCTTCAGCTGGCGCGCCGACCTGCTCAAGCACCGGCGCCTGCACACCGGGGAGAAGCCCTACCCATGCCCAGAGTGCGGCGAGGCCTTCAGCCTCAGCTCGCATCTGTTGAGCCACCGGCGCGCGCACGCGGCAGCCAGCGGCGCGGGGGTGGCGGCGCTGCGGCCCTTCGCCTGTGGGGAGTGCGGCAAGGGCTTCGTGCGCCGCTCGCACCTCGCCAACCACCAGCGCATCCACACGGGCGAGAAGCCTCACGGCTGCGGCGAGTGCGGCAAGCGCTTCAGCTGGCGCTCGGACTTGGTGAAGCACCAGCGCGTGCACACGGGCGAGAAGCCCTACATGTGCTCCGAGTGCGGCGAGACCTTCAGCGTCAGCTCGCACCTCTTCACGCACAAGCGCACGCACTCGGGCGAGCGGCCCTACGTGTGCCGTGAGTGCGGCAAGGGCTTCGGGCGCAACTCGCACCTGGTGAACCACCTGCGCGTGCACACGGGCGAGAAGCCGTTCCGCTGTGGCCAGTGCGAGAAGCGCTTCAGCGACTTCTCCACACTCACGCAGCACCAGCGCACGCACACGGGTGAGAAGCCCTACACGTGCATCGAGTGCGGCAAGAGCTTCATCCAGAGCTCGCACTTGATCCGCCACCGCCGCATCCACACCGGCAACAAGCCGCACAAGTGCGCGGGCTGTGGCAAGGGTTTCCGCTACAAGACGCACCTCGCGCAGCATCAGAAGCTGCACCTGTGCTAGGGTCAGAGCCTCAGGAGGCTTGTGGGGAATAGACGTCCTGGGGACAGACCCTATAGCAAGATGAGGGAAGGAGAGGGAGGGACAGTCTGACAGTGACTGGGGAGCCTTTTGGTGGTGGGGATCCTCAAGGGGATGGTTGAGTAATAATTGTTATGTTGGGATACTGTATTTTCACGTGGCTCCTCCCCAGCGAAGAAATGTTTGGGAAGTGTGCTTGAGCATGATGACTTCAAGTACACACTATAGGGAGGGGAAGAGCACAGAGGAGCCCGGACTTTGAGGACCTTGGGAAAGGGGCTTTCAGGGGTGGGGGTGGGGGTGGGGGAGGCGACCTGAAGGCAGGTCACTAGGTTGGGCTGAGATACCCGCGCAATCAGCGGGGAGAGGGTATGGTTGGAGAGAGTGTAATGGGTTAAAATTAACAGGCAGGTGGGTATGAATAATTCTATCCTGCCTGCTCTTCCCCCTCTCCCAGGCTGTTAAGCCACTGTTTGTCCTATCCCTGACATCAGCTGTAGTTCCACGTAGAGGGGAACCTCATCAGTCCTGTGGGAGGGGATGTTTTCTATAATCTTCCCTTCCTTTCTCTGAGCCACAGTTAGCTGCTATTTTGAGGCATCCAGGGGAGACTGGGCCGAAAAGCTACAAACTCTCACTTCAAGGGCACAACTTCTGAGGTTTGGAAATTAATTTGTAACACTTTTTCAGATCTGGGAGGTTCTGTTCCTCGTTCTTTGCTTCTTCTTTCAAACTTCTCTAGTTTTGTGCTGGGTAAAGGTGGTCTGTGTGGAAGACCAGACCCTTTCCTGGGTTTAGGAGTGTACCAGGCCTACTCTTTCTTTCAGGTCCCACTTGTGATCTTTTAAGTGCAGGGAAGTGGAACAGTCCCAGTAATGTCTGACTTTTTCTTAACCCAGGCCAGCCTGAAGCTTGTTTTGAGAGAACCTCAGACCATGAACAGTTGGCCCAGTGACCTGCTTCAAAAGTTAATTAGCTCAGAGTTTTGCTGGCCTTATGTGAGAAATCGAGGAAAGCAAATGTTCACATGTTGAGGCGCCAGGCTCCTCTGTCTCATTTGCCCTCGCTTTGTATCTCTGTACCTGTTCCCCTCTGTAGAAATGGGGGAGATAAATCCAACCCCCACTTCCATCCATACTGATAGGAGCTCAAGTCTGAGTAGACATTTCTTTTTCCTACATGGGGAGGTACTAGAAAGCTCAAGGCTTTACAGAAGGAGGACACGAGCAGGGACAAGTGTAAATTCAAAATTGCCAAATAGCACAAGCGTTGAATGTTTTCTGCTGGTTATATAAATGCCAAAAAAGCACTTATATATTTGTGAAGTGCTTTATGCTTTTTAATGATTGTCAGTTGTTTCTCACATCTTTGTGAGGTAGATCAGTATTATGACTCCTGTCTTAGGAAGGCCTGGGATGATGATAGTGTGGACAGGTGTAGTTTGACCTTTTGTGCTCTCTCGCCCAGCTGCTAGGAAGACTTAACCTGTCTTGATTTATATAATCAAATAAAGACACTGAAAATTCTTATGCTTGATGGAAAACTTAAGGCTAGTCTAGAAGGGCCAAAGATGTCCTTGTTGACAAAGCTGGTCTTTGTCACATAATTAGGGTATCCTAGGTATGTCCCATTTCTAGTAGAAGGTTGTGGTTAGATTACTCTTGTATAGATTTCAGTTACCCATGCTGAAAATCCCTCCCCTAGGTTAGCCTTTAGAAGTTAGAGTTGTGGAAAACAATATTGTTTTCTTCACTAGGGGTTGTTACCCTGTATTTTTTCAAGGATGCATCTTCACAAACTGTTGGACACACACTTGAAGGGAAAAAAAAAACTCTTAAGACTGCTTTAGCAAACTTTCCATGGATGCTGGTAATTTATACTCGATCAGTTGTATTCTAACAAAGAACCTCTTTGGGGACTGTAAGAAAGCATGTCTTTGTTGTTTTAAAAACACTTAAAACAATCCTGAGAATTTTGGGCTTTTATAATGCCTGAAAATATGGTTTTGGAAGATACTAATTCATTTATTTTCTTTTAGTTAAGGTAATGTGAGCAAAGCAAGTGTCCAATATTTGTTCTGACTCTTGTAGTCTGAATTCAAAGTGTAAGACTCATCTGAAAATAATACACCCAATTTGTAGGTATTTTATTTCTTTGTGGTTTTTTTACACACGTCTACCTCTTCCAGCTGTTTTAAGTTCTCTCAAGTCTGTGCCTATGAAATTGCATCCAACTTTTGATTATTCATGGTTGATTATACACTTTATGGGCTGTTTGGCCTTTTCTGCCACTGTTATACTATTACAGAGCCTCATCTACATCAAGTATGTAACATATTAGGAGCTTTCAAGAAAGGGTTAATGGGGAGAGGAGATTGAAGCTAATGTAAAATAATTTCATGGCAGTGGAAGTCTTTAGACTTCATTGACCTCTCTCGTTCTTCCTGTTGCCACAGATAAGGAGCCAGCTACTGCTTCAGTATCCCTTGTATGGACAAGTCCCTTGGCAGAAGAAAACAGTCCAAACACCAACACCCTACTTTCATGTGCATTTAAAATGTGATTCCATTTTTCTTAAATTCTTCAGGGAACATGGCTTCACTAAGTGAGTCTAAATGCATTCAGGAGGTTGTTTCTTGTATCTAATTTTAGAATAATAGAATTTCTTAAGCAGACCCTGTTAACTGTGGTTCACCCTTCAAAGTGTTAATCTGAAGACTCCTTCCGCCAACTCATTAATGATGGTGGAGGCAAGTGTATCATCTGTTTTTGGGGAGGCTGGTCAAGTACAGGCTGTCCTTTACTGAGCAAAACCTGGAGCAGTTTCAATGGTGAAATGGCTTAATTAAATCTGAGTTGGAAGGAGAAGATGAGACGTTAACCCCTTGAGCCATATGGTCTCTTCAAGATCAAGAGGCTGTACATATGTGAAAAAGTACAAATTAAGAACCTGTGTTTATAGACAATCTGAATGGTGTTTCTGTGCACACAGTTTGTGCAGAAGTTTATGCACATTTTCCTTCACTGTAATGTTATTTTACAACTGTTTGTTAAGATAGTGAATAATTTAATGATCCTAAAAGTAACAGGTTTTGTGTGAGCGTGTGCTTGTGTATGTGAGATTTGCCTTTTATTTAATGATGGTTCCTTGGACAGCATTCTGGTGTTCAGCAACCAATACGGAATATTTGTCATTAAATCCATCAGTCTTTTACCATCTCATTCTTTCTTATTTGTCACCCATTAAATGTCACTCAGTCCAATCTATGGAAGCTATGTTCTAGTAGACCAGGGGTCAGCAAACTGCCAAATCCAGCCGGCCTCTTGTAATTAAAATTTGCTTGGGAGACAGTCACACCCATCCAGCCCATGATCCTAAGATATTTATGCTGTGCATCTTTACAGGAAAGGTTTGCTGACTCCTGTGTTAGAATGTTCCGGTGGATCCTAGATTATCCTGGAACTGGCTGATGTCTAAATAGTGCCCATTCTTACCAGTACTTAACTGCAGCACTTCTGCACTAATGTGGCTTTGGGTTGTTGGGAATGTGTTGATGTTATACCATTGGTATCTCTTTCAAAGAGCTGCATCTTCATTCCTTGTAAGAACCAATCTGTGGAGACTTAGCAGTGGGCAAGGGAGAGGTAGTTATGCAGAAGGGAGGCAGTCTTAGGTCTCATTTCTAATGTATTCCTGAACCACATAACACAGTATTTTCTTTCCCCAAGCTCTCCAAAGTGTAACTTAACAGCTGCTGATCATACTGAATGGAATTTACCAGCCAGACTGGACTTTTGTTCAAGATGTATTTTAGCTAGTCTCTCTGCCTAACCTTATGGAAACAGAGCACTTTGTAAGGAAGGGATTCACAAAAAATAGAAAAATGGAAGCATGAAAGCACCTTATTTTCTTTTAATGATCATAGGTACTACATCTTTGAATTTCCACAAGTCCTTACCCTGCCTAGCAGGGCCACTGAATGCTGGGTCCTGGTCCTGGGAGGAGGCAAGCAGCTTTGTTACTGCAACATTCCTCCCCAAGCCTGACCATCCTGGCCTGAAGTGACCACCAGTCTAGCCCTTTGTCCTTGGGAAAACTCTATTAAACCAGGTATTTGAGGTATACTGTTCAGTGGTCTGTGGGGACACAGCATAGACCTCGTCTTCTGGTCTTCACGCCATAAAAGGATGCTCAGCCTGAACTTGCTGTTAAGAGCGGGCCCTTGTCCATGTTCCAGTTAGAAAAAAAGCACCTGGAAAACTTGGAATTCTCCAGGCTTGAGTAATTTAAGATTTTCTTAATTTAATCTTAGCTGCACAGTAGAATTGCCTGGAGAGCTTTAAAAACAAACAAACAAAAAACTTGTTCCAGAGATTGAGTAATCGGTCTGGCGTGGAATCCAAATACCTGGGACTTTTTAAAAAGTCTTCCCGGGCAACTTTAATGGTCAACCAGAGTTGAGAAGCCTGTAGGACCAAGTAATCAGGCACCTTCTTTCTTGGGGATTATGGTAAGTAAAACTCATAAGCTTCCAATCCTCTCCTCTGGAAAGGGGTATGGAGGGCATCTGTAGATGCCACGGGCAGTGTCTGATGCAGCAGGCTTTGTTGCCTGTCCACTCTTGGTAGGGCCACCTTTCACACACACCATCCCCATCTGTTATCTCATGTAAGCTAGTAAGTAAGGACCAGGAAAAGTGTCTGTCTTGGCTGCTCAGATAATGCCAGGTGGGCATCGCTGCTGCTGGCCCTTCTCAACCTACCAATCACGGACTGCCTTGCTTCCCTTCTCTCTGATCTCCATTCCCTTTGTCAGCTCACTTAACACCACAGCATTCGTACTTCACTTCTTCTCCCAGCCACCCTTGGCAATGGAATTGTTTCCCACCGTTTGCCCCTGGAAGGAAAGGGAAGGAGCACACCCATGAGCTATCCCCCATGGACAGGCTGGTGGGCTCCTCCCTTCCCCCAGCAGAGTCCCAAGTGTCTGCAGGTTGCAGTTCCCTGCTGCCTGTCTGGGTGTTCAATGTCACCTCTGTTAACTCAAAGCACATTCCAATGGGTTTTGATTTTTAACTGCCCCGGTGGGACCCAGGCCACTGTTCACAGACCTCTCTGGGTCCATCTGGTGACCTGCCTCATCACTGCTGCCAGGATACTCAGCTTTGGAAACCAAAGAGATGGGTGGCAAGGTGTTTCATGTACTCAGCTGCCCCATGCTTAAGGTTGGACAAAAGCATCTGCATATGTGCAGTGCTCAAGTTAGCATTCCCATGAACATATTTGGAGGGGTTTCCTCCTAAGTGAAAGGTTCCACTTTCAGATTGACAGGTTCCAGACCTCCTCAGTTGCTGGAGACCAGGGATTCAGCTGACTTGATGGAGAAGCAACTTGATGCAGTCATTTATTCACAGGAGATGCTCCCCTGAGATGTCTTCCCAGACCCAGGAGGGCTGGCTGGTTTTGCAGAGATTTTCCCAAAATATCCTGTACACATTTGCTGTGTATGGGCACTCCCCACCACCATGCACCAAGGCTGTGGCTCAGTAAGAGCAGAGACCCTGAAACTGACTCCATAAGCACCCTACATGCCCATGAGCTAGGTTGGTGCTTGATGCCAGGGGTATGGGCATGAGGGAGATGGAGAAGCTCACAGGTTCTCCAGAAGGGTGAAGGGGAAGGCTGATTGTTGCCTGCCTGACATCAACCCCAGCTTCCTTGTGGTGCATTATTTTGTAAATTGTAAGAATGAATTTTGGAATTTCAGTTGGGGAGGCGGGGGTAAGGCAGAACTTTCTACCAAGGCTTCAAGGGTTATGTCTGAGTAAGGTGGTACCTCCAGCAAAGGCTCAGGGTGAGGGAGATGCTCTGCTGAAGTCTTAAAAACTTGTGTGTCCATAAGTCAGGGTCACCATCACTGAAAATAAGGCAGTATCCTCATTTTCTGGCTTTGGTGGTGTGGGGGCAAGGGGCAGTGTGTGACCTTGGAGAGGCTAATTAAACAAGGGGCTGCTAAGGAATTTGGTTAGACATTTCTACTGTTAGGGAGTATCTGAGTAAAGTCAGAACTTTGATAGAAAAGGACCAGCTCAAGACTTCAGCTGAAGTAGCTCTACTGCCCTCTGGGTTGACATTAATGGACATAGTAGGGGTTATGGACAAGACTTCACATCCAGGCCACTGGACAGATGGACCCACTGTCTAACATTATGGCAGCCTAGGATGGGCACTACAGGTGGACTTGATCTTGGCCTTGTGTAAAAATGGTCAAGTGGAAAGATGCAGGTGTGAGGTGTTGGAGAAGATCAAGCAAAATAACAAACGTGAAGGTTCTTGGAAGGGGTGGTGCAAAGGTTGGGAAACCAAGTGGTCGCAGGACGGTTGTCTTATGTTAGAGCTCCTGGGGGCCTCTAAGGTGGAGAGAGGCGGTTGCTTGCGTGTGGGTTGTGTTCTCTTGGAATTCCAGCCCCTGAGGCAGGGGTGAGGGGATGGGAAGCCAGAGGAACAGAGGAAGAAAGAAGGGACAGGTTCTCCGTCTCTTTGAGAGTATGCCATGTTCTGATTCCTCTTTAGGAGGCACTAACTCTATGGACTCTCCCTACTCTAGTATCCGGTGATTGCCAAAGAGCTTAAAACCTTGGAGAGCATCTGTAGCTCAATGCAAGACAAGGGAACTTGTTTAAGTCAGCCTTAGGTTTGCAGCTCAGCTGTCATGGGATTTCAGAGGACGGAGGGAACTGATATCTAGTGGGCTCCTGCTTGGTCCCCTGCGTCGATCATCCATGTCTAGGTGGGGTAGCATTCCCTTTACCACCGAGGAGCCAGCTGCCTGTAGAGCTGGGGCAGGGATAGGAAACTACTCAAGAGCAGGGCTGTGGCATGGTGAAGTTTTGCTGCAGAAGCACGAAGGTGCCAGGGGATATCCAGTGTCCAGTCACTGTCACAGACTGTAGAAATGGGTCACAACTTTCATTTTGCAGGTAAGGAAATAGATCCAGGTAAATAAAGGGATTTGCCTAACTTTCAGGGCAAAACTGAAAGAGAACCCAGTTTTCACTCTTACTGGCAGCAATGGTCTGCTTCCAAAATACGAGAATACTCTGCTTTTTTGCCCTCCTCTTCCTGCTTCCCCAGCCCCCTGGTCCCTTCCCTGAGGTCCTGTACAGACGAAGGGCCACATTCCATAAGCTGAGTGAGAGGGCGAGGTTGAGTGTGCTCCACAGGGGGCTCAGGCTGTCGGGGAGTGGATAAGCCTTCCTCTGCCCTCTTTCCAAATGCTCTTTCTTATCTCTGCCTTCTTTTTTCCTTAACAAGTATGCTGGTAGGACAGCCTCTTGGGAGTCTGTGCCTCCCCCTACCTGCTTCACAGCACTGTGAGGTCAGGCCAGACTCAGGGCAGTGCATATTTGGTCACCATTAATACCTGGCGGGAGTCCAACTTTGTTTTGTGTAGGGGACACTCATACTTAAAATCTCATTTATTCTCCAGCGTCTCTTTCTTTCAGAACATTGTCTTCCCTTCTCCCTCCCTCCTTCCTGCCTCCCTCCTACCTTTCACCCTCCCTTCTCCCTCCCTTCCTCCCCCTTCCCTCCTCTTTGCTTCTTTTCTATCCTTCCTTCCTTCTCCCCACCATCCCTCCCTTCTTGCCTCCCTCCCTCCCTTTCATAGTGTCAATTGTTCCCTTCAGGCCAGATGTGGAAATACAGCTGTGCCTGGGCTGTCAGTACAGGGTCCCCATGGTGCCTTCCCAGAGACCACATTCTCCTTGGAGAGACAGACACGTTAATACGGAACCATCCTGGACTGTGAAGAGTGCCTGGTGAGGGATACTTCGCCCCTTCCTGGAAGGCTGGAGTCTTCCTCTGGGAGGTGCAGCCTGAAGTGTGAGTGCTTGGCAGAGGGACGGGTGCCAAGGGAGCCAATGAGTTGCAGGCAGGGGCGGCCGTGCTGGAAGCTTGTCGTGGCTGGAATGTGTTCAGGTGGTGACTGCAGCTGTGGCAGAAGCTGCCCTGCACGTCCCCAACCCTGAATGCGCAGAGGCTTCTCCACAGACTCTGGGTCCCTCCTGGCCCCAGGGCCCTGCTATAAACTTTCCACTTTTCTTTACCACGTGTGTCTTGAGCAGCAGAGTGGAGAGCCCTGTGTTCTAGTGCCGCTCAGCTTCTGATTGGTGAGTGACCTTGGGGACATCAGTTCACTTTGTTGGCCCCAATCTT